TCACATTACATGAATTAATCAAGGGATTCATACCACAATCATTAGTATTCAAAGTTACATCAATGTTGAAATCTAGAAAAAGGGTCAGGAAAATAATTATCAAAGGAATAGTTAACTTCAAAGAGTACTTAAAAGACTACTGGAAGGAATGGTATGAAAAAGTGACACTATGAGAAGCTAAAAATAATATTACTAAAGATTGAAAAAAAAAGGAAAAAATAATTTAAAAAAGGTGAGGGAAATAAGAGAATATAATGGTAGTATAAAGTTAGTAGAAACTAATGAAGGGAAATACAGTAAAATAGAACAATAGGAAAGAGCATTATACATAAATTTAGAATGTGGATTAACTTGGGATGCAAATATAATAATAATTATAGTTATATATATAATAATTATATCTGATGGGGTTTTGGCCATCAGTTCCCGAGGTTACACTTAGGCAATGATAAGTTGGACAGTAAAATGTTATTTTTAGTCAGTTTCAATAAATGTAAAATAAATTATTTATATCTTTAAAATTTACACCTAATTTATTAATAAAAGTTTATTGGAGCAAGACTCCATTGGATTTAAAAAAAGAAAAAATGTAAATGAGAATATAATGGATATGGTGAAATGAATTTAATATTTGTAATATTTTATTATCATTAATGCAAATATCTAATATATTCTGAGAATAACATTATTCACTAAAATATCCCTTTAACGGAAAAAGAAAGAATAATTTCATTTTGAATTGACTTTCAGGTCGATAAATATGCAAGATGATATTTTTACTAATGAAATTATTCGATATACTGTTCATAATAAAAATATACAAATGAAAAATAAAGTATGCATGAAATCCGTGAATGCTGAATACAAAAAAAAAATGCGAAACACTGTATCAATATAAATCTCCCGTAAACTTTTTCTAAATTAATTGCATTTTATTTTATCGATTTTATTATTACTTCTTATTTCATTATTAGAATACTTTCTATAACCATATTTTATTTAAAAAGTTAAATAGTAAACCGGTCTAAACGTGAAGAGACTCATGTTTGTGATTTTTTTTTGAGACTTATTCACTTATTACATCATCACAAAGTTTAAAATTTTCTTCAATTTTCACGATATTGGATAGATTTATAGGTGCGCACAAGCAAAAACAATATATCGTGATTAATAATATATATTCGAATAAAAATAAATCATTCCTTTATTACTTTGTTGAATTTAATTACATAGTACATTCCTGCAACATTTATTTTTAATAAATCAACACTTAAATAAAATTGTTATTCATAATTACTTCCACTTTGCACCCATTCAAGATCCATTTTCAAGCATTTTTCTCAAAATAAGACTCAGCATTTGATGATTTCCACTCTTTTTCAATTGATTCTCCTGTTCAGCTCAGTGTAATTACTACTGGAACACGGCAAATGTTTTATTTTACAAGATTATGACTTTCAGAAAATATTTAGACGTTTAAAAAAGATTAATATAATTGCTGAAATTAATTCAAAAAATTTAGACGGTTGACAATATGCCAATAAAATTTCAAAGTTTCGTCAAACAAATATAAATAAGTTCTCAAATTTCATTTTGTAAGCGAACTCAAATTCTATAATGTTGGATTCAATTTTGGGACTTAATGTTAAGAATTAGAAATACCATATTAATATTATGTTTACAAAAGAAAAATTACAAATTGATAAATTTGTTATAAGCAAATAATATATAAAGTTTATGTTATATTTATTCAGTAGATACAAAAAAATTAAATATAAATAAATGTAATTAAAATAAAAAAATTTTTACCAAAAAACTGATCAATAATGACAACCTCAATATTATAACATTCACGATAGGTAAATGCACCCTCTGTATATAAATAATTCTACATTCTATTAAATAAATATTGTTCTTTTTCTAAAATTATAATTACCTAAACTTTATAACTTTTGATGAAAAATCTTAGATTTACAATTATCTTTAATTTAAAATCTACATACTGTATATATAAATTCAACTTTAATGCACAAATTATGATGATCAACCTGTACAACAGTTTTTATTATAAATTCCTTCATAGGAAATCTGAATATGTAAACATTGTATTCGACTTTCTATTTGATTACAATTAATTAAAAAAGTTATTTTTTCGCTAAAATAAATTTCCAGCAATAAATAATTCGACCAATTTTTAATTAAAAATTAAATGTCTTCTCAAATGATTTTCTTTTCTTTCCCCATTTATATAACAGGACGGTGATAAACTATTTAAGTGATTTAAAAAAACTTCTAAAGAATTTTTGGCATTTTTCATGTCTATCTTTATTCAATATAAAAATTATAAGGCCTATAATCTCTTTTCGAATTTTTCCACATAATTATTTTTATAAAAATATCGAAATGAACAACTTAAATGACATCCTCGTTAATATAAACAGAACTTTAATTTTTCCTCCATCATTATCAACTGAAGAAATTGTCCTTCGTTTCAATTCCAAGAGTCCTTTTCGAAGTCACAAAAAATGTCACGGATTTATGTTGTTGAAAATTTCGGTCGTTAAAGAATGCCAAAGATTAGGAGAAAATAATAAAACGATAATCAAATGTGCAGCGGATTACTTGTGGAGAAATTCTACAAGTCAAGAAAAATCGGAATATATTGATTTAGCACAAAGAGTTAACACTTTAATATTAAAATAAAATTAATGAACTTTCTTCTTTTATTCAAGATTATTTCATTAAACGTATTGCATAAAAAAAATTTAAAAATTAAAAAAAAAATTATCTATTCAAGCATAAATATAAAGGACATGGCACTTTTGCGTACAAATTTTTTAATTTTCGAAACTCTTGTACTCTTAATTTTCGTGAATCATTCTTTATCTTCTTATTATCATTATTAATTTAATAATTATTCATTGATTTATTTTAGTATATATTATTTAATCGAATATTTTTTGCTTTTATTATTATCATTATTATCTTATAATAATTATATTCATTAATTACATATTTAGTAATGTATTGCTTATCCTTTGTCGTTATTAATTTTTGTCGTTATTAATAATATAGATATATTTAGTAATGATGTACAATAGTTATTTCTTTTCGCAATTTTCGTAAACACAAACAAGCAAACCCAACAACACAACGCTTTTGTTATATGTATAAAAATACTATTTAGATTTTTTATTTTTTTACTTCAATACTGTATTTGTTCATTTGAGGGAGTTAACGGATTGTCTTTAATTAAATGTGTAATGCATGATAAAATAGCGAAATTGTTAGATGATTAGTGTGATTGTCAACCAATAAAAATAAAACACATGTTTAATTTCAGGCACATGATGTTCAGGTGATCGAAATTCGCGAGTGATAAATATTAGGTGACAAATATACTTTTCGTTTGTAAAAAACTAGGATATTGTCATGTCTGGACAGCACACTACAGAATTACACAACAAATCAAGTTCTCAGTCTCAATAATAGCTCACACTTCTTCGTGTATCGCTATACAATGTAACAACTTAAATAACAAAAACAAAGTCGTGAGTATAATCTGAAAGGTATGTAAGTGAAGTAGAGGTAATTTTCCCTACAAATACTATTGGTGTTAGAACAGATTTATAAGAGATAAAATGTTTATTTATGATTGAACAGTAAAAGAACATTTTATTAGAAGTTGGGCAACAAAATATTACAAAAACGTGTTTCTATTCTGTCACTATTTCTAACATTTATTATATAATTATTGCTATGTTTATCGCTATTTGTAAATGTTATTATAGTTATTTAATTAACAAAGAAAAAGATAAAAATAAAAGATTAAAGTGTTATTAATTTCTTAAGAAAATGCTGCAAAAAGGAACTCTTCTTTCTCTCTTTTACTACTGCTACTTTTATATTTCTCTCTCATCATTTTCTCCCTTCCTTCCATTATTCCCATCATCATTCTCATCATCGTACAACTCCATCATTCTCATCATTGTACAACTTCATCATTCTCATCATTTGTGTTCCCACACCACATGTTTTCTGCACTGCCATCTTCGTACCATCTTACCAATCATTCGTCGTCACTTCAATATCTAATAAAAATTGATATTCGAAGGTTGGGACACGAGGTGATGAATACACTACCTTTGAAAAACCCTAACCCTTGCGGTATAGGTTTGATATAAAATTTTTGATAAATAAAATACAATAAATGATTATTAATTCGTGATAATTTTATATATGTCGAATCCGACATTCCGTAAGAAAATATTGAATAATTTGTCTTCTATTGATCTTGGGAATCTATAATTATTACCATTAGATTTGCCTTGCTGAGACTGAGACGGATCCAATAAGCTAAATTTTATCTTTTTATGATCGATCGTTATATGACAAATTATCTTTAAAAGTTTTCAAATAATAAAATTATATTTTTCCAACTTTAATTTTTCGGTTATTGGGAAAGTGGTTTTTAATATTTATAAATAATATAAGAGATGGACTTGCATAATATAAGAAAACGCGACCTAGGACAAAAATTTTATGATCTTTTATCAAATTAACTTCTTGAAAGCCCTAATGATCGTAATGTCACAATTGAGGTTGAAGAACCAGTTAGCCAAATTTTGAAATTCGCTTTTACATTTTTGTAATCTCGTAGTACTTATTTTATAAATGAATTCAATGAATCTCATGTTAGAGTTAAAAATTCTAAATATTTCTACTATAACATCTCTCTTTAAATAATCTCCATTACTATTATCATATCACAACAACATTTTATTTATCTGCCATAACCACCTCACTTTTCTTTAAAAATTTTAAAAATATTAATTAATCTCTATTTTTACAACAATGATACTCATAACACTTAAACTTATCATGAATAAATTCAATTGTATAGGCAGTTTTACTTACTTGAGAAATTTTGCCAGAACGATATATAATAAAAAGTACAGTGTGACTATACAATACAGATAATCAAAATATCATCACAAAAGTTTCTTCTTATTCATCTCAAATGAGCTTTCAAACTGTTTATACATTGCGCGAGGCCCATTGAAACTTTACACTGTTTACTATTGAAAGTCCTTCCACATATAAATTCATACCTTGATTGCATAATCAACTCGTCCGGAAATTTCTTCTCTCCAATATTTTCATGTTGAGAATGTATGCTAACACTTTTTTCAATCTTCTCAAATGATATGGAATGCAGTACAGAGCATCTCATTAAACATGACCTCCAAACTATCCGAAAGCAAAGAACAATGATCTTTCAACCTCTTGTTAATTTCAGTGATATATTCTTCGTAGTACTGTCTTGAATTTCGTAAGTTGGTAGTGTGAATAATTTAATTGCACCTATGTTTCAGATTCAAGACCACATTCTACCAACTCTCCCTTCAAACCGTGGTGTAAGGAGAACAGCTTCGATTTTTTCCTTTTACGCTCCCTAACGAAGTCGGCAAGCATTGTTACAGGTCCACCCTTTGAGTCATAATCTCTGAAATTTTTCTTGGTAATCTTGAGAAAAATACGGGCATTAATTTTTCCTTTTCCTGAGTCATCCCGTCAAGTCTTCTTCTTTCCGTAAAAATTTGATGAGAGTACTGGTATTATAATTTTTTTTAATTTCGTCCGCAAACGTTGGAACATTTTTTCCTTTATCAATTCGGAGGAAGTGGAGATGAAGTGGAAGTAAATTTCTAATAAGTTTTTTATACGAATAATATTACATCCCAATATTATTGATCTTCTATCATTATTATCATTATACCTATCAAAAAATCTTATAACACCGCCAATTGATTCTTAAGAACTAAACATTAAACTTCCATTTATAGTAGAGATAACCCATGTTTGAGGACGAAGATATATATCACCAGATTCTAAGTCATTTTCGCCATCACCATATATTTCGTCATGACAGAATTTTCTTACATCAAAACAAAATAAAGTGATGAGATGTTCATTTTCATCATTATCTACACAATTAGACATTGCAATAGACCAACAAAGGTATTTCCACATTCAAGTGTAAAAATACATTTACTTGAACTTAAATTATAATGATTATATAACTTAAATTCGTTTCGTATCTATTATTTTAATTATTTTTGAATTATTAAAGGTTCACCAAAGTTAAAGAAATAAGTAAATAAATATTAATAAATGACCTTACTATAATTTGTAATTTAAATTATTTTAATTATTTTTTGTTTTTTTAATGTAATTAATTCAAGCTAATAAAATGAAATACTTCACAGTTGTCCTCTAATATACATAACTATTATATTTTGACAAATATTCTATAATCATTATTTATATTTTATAATTATTATTTTCTTAATAATCATTTTAATTAACTTTAATGTCAATTAATGTTAATTTTTAATTTTAACGATAAAATTAATGTGATATTTTTAAAAATTTAATTGCTAATTCGTATAAGAATGATTCTGATGTAATTATTTCAAAATCCTTGATTATTTACATTATTTAACGTTTACATAATACTAATTTTTAAATAAAAAATATTAATTTTATATTTGAATAAATTTTTTATTCAGATATTTTTTTTCTAATTGTCATAAGAACAGGATTTCTGAAGTGGATTAATGAAAGTAAAGAATGTTAACAACAATGTTAGTTGTCAATAGTTAGTAGATATGGATATGATGATTATGTATTTACTAATATCTCTGGAACACATTCAAAGTCACTATTAATCCTATCCTCAAATATAGCTTTTGCCATAATGGTTTATAAATTATAAATTCTCTCTCTTCACATGGTAATCAATAATTATAACAATAAATACAACCAAGATAATATTATTCTATTAATTTTGCTACTAATAGTTGAATAATAATAATCTAGAATTATCAGCAGCTGAAGCATAAATTTAATCAATATTAATATTAGGTAAAGTAATAAAAATTCAACCACCTCCAATACACATGGGCTTTATTGCAAATGTGTAAATAAAATACAATAAATACTTATCATCATTGTTAACAATATATATGTAATAAATGTAATTATTGTTACAATAACTACTAAAATGCTTTGAGATATGGAAGGTAGCAGCAACAACATGATAAATTAATGAGTGTAATTATATAGAAAAATGTTAGTTTAATTAAAAGAATTTATAAATAAGAAATTATTTATTTAGCGCGCGGTTTCTTTTGAGAGATATATCTATTCTATAAAGAATATGAAGAAATCAAAAATGAAATTAAAAAAAATGTTGCAATATATGGAGATTATACTTTCAAGCATCAACTCACACACCATTACATAAATCCATATGACCTTCGCGTAAATAAAATGCAAAAAAAATGCTTACCAAATTTATTGAATTATTATCTTCATTTTTAACAATATGTATTAATATACGTAATAATAATATTATTATAATAATTATTAAATAATAAGAAAAAATAGTTGAGGATATGGAAAATATATTAGCAGAATAACATGAGTATAATTATGCAAAAAAAAATATTTATCTAAAAAGGAATTCTTAAATAGAAATTATTTATTCTGCGCAGTTTCTTTTGGAGATATATCAGTAAAGAATAAAGGAATGAATATGTATTCTGAGAAAGATGTTGCAACATATGGATTATCCTTTCTAACATCGATATGCTGTAAAATGATCAATCCTTAATTTTTTTGATTACCTGGAATTTATCATTATTTAAAAAATTATTTCCCTACTCACACTATATACACCACACAAAATCTACCCCAATATCCGCCATTCTTCAGGAATCATCATATTATATCCCAAAACTCTACACTCACTCAACCAATACTCAATAATCTCGATACTAAATAAATATAATAATAAATCAACTAAAGAAAATTATATATTCGTCCTGATGTTATCAAAGAAATCTTACAATATTTAGAAAACGATATCTCACTTCCCACTCGTCTTTTAATAGAAAACTTTGGTGTATAACCATTCCTTATTATGGTATAATCCATTAACTCGAACATAAATAGCAACAATAATAAAATATTTTATTCAATAAAATAACAATAATTACAATAATAACTATGTTCAAAGAATAAATAAATATCGGGGAATTTGATCATAACCACCCACTGAATCATTCATCATCATGATGATTTGTTATTACAATACAATTTGTACTTGAATTTATATGAATTAGATTTTTATAAGAATTTAAATTAAATTAATTATATGATTATTTAATAATTAAATTGGACATTTAACGAATTTATATAAACTGTAGAATTTAATGAATTCATATAATTTTTTTTTACTCTTTCTACATATCGCTTTATTATTTCACATATAAATTAATGAGATAAATTATAAATAAGCAAATCAGAAAATGGTATTCAAAATTTTTCAGATTTAACTGTATGAACTGTACTGTATACTGTGAGGTGACAGTAATATTTTTCTAAAAAGTATTAAAATTTTTTTAAAAATATGCAAAACAACTATATTTGATGCAAAAATAAATAAAATCATTCATTAAATAATAATAATAATAAATAGTACACATAGATAAATTAATTAAATAAAATACAAAATTTTAATATTGAAAGAAGTGATAAAAAAATCCGTATTTGAAGGACCAACAACCCATATTCTTAAAGCTGAAATAAAATAATAAATAAATAAATTTACGAAATATAGAATTAAATATAAGACAATGAACATTATCAATCACCTTAATTGTCATCATCATTATTAACATTATAAAGAGATAATTGCTCAAATTCTAATATAAAATAAGTATTTTTAAATAAATATTAATTATGACTAATTGTAAAAGAAAGAATAAAATTTTACCTTCAGGGATTACAAAATCAAATTGCTTAGTTTCATATTCTAAATATAAATGTACAATATTATATAATATTTATTAATTGTAGATTCTAATTGGAATTAATAATTTGAGCGATTTACCTTTTTGTGCTTCTATTAAGGTTTTAAAAAAATTAAAAAAATTAATTAATAAAATATAAAATAAAATGAATAAAAAAATAAAAATTATTTATGTTACCTTCTGCGACATTTCTAAGTTGGGCTGAAACATTAAATATATATAATTTACTAGTTTGGAACTTTTTACTACTTTTGATTTTCGTTAAACTTGATTGGGAAAATTTCGATTCTGAACTTTTAGATTGAATAGTCAGTTTTTGCTTATCCATTTCATCATATCATAACCGAATTAATGATTGCAGTTTATCATAAATTGTTTCTGCATCAGGTCTATTTTCAGGATTAGCATTCTAACAATGTTTCATTAAAGTTGCATATTCATATGGAATATATTCATAAATTTTAGGTCTATATCCATTAATAATTGCAAGAACAAAATAAGAATCAGAATTGAATTCACGATCACTAATTGGAGTTTCACCAGTAATCACCTCCCACATTATAATACCTAAACTATACACATCTGATTTTGTCGTATAATTTTCTTTAAATAAAACTTCAGGTGCAATGTATGGGAGATTCCCATAAATAGTATTTGAGGGTTTGTCAACTGGCCCACTCAATCCTAAATCACTAACATACCAGCTACAATTCGATGCTTCATATAAAATATTTCCGGAGTGCAAATCTCTATGTGCTATATTTAGTTCATGAATTAAACATAAACAATACGTAATTCTGAGAATAATAAAATATTTTTGTAATAATGTAAGTAATTGATAATTATCTTTTAAAAAATGTCTTAAATCATTATCATATCGATTTAAAAACAGTATGTAATCTTGGGTGGTTGGATCTTTAGTTAGTCCGTAACAGATAACAAACCATAAGGATGTTTTATCAAGTGCGAAACTTAATATCACCAAATGATTTTTTGTACTTATGTAATTAATATTTCTGAAATGTCAAACTGAATATATAATAAATGCAATAATAATTTAACTTACTTCTTGAGACCAATGTACAATATCATTATTTGAGTTATTTAATCTTTTCAAAACAATCTTTTGTCTTTCAGATCTTTCCAATATTTGTCTTTCGGAATTCCATTTTTTATAATGTCCATCTTTCCAAATTGCTGTATAAATGGTAGCAAATCCTCCTTCAGTCAGACGTTCGACATTCCTCAAATTGATCATATTCAATCCATTCAATTACTTTGTAAGGTATTACAGTTGTTTTCTGACATTCTTGAATTAATTTGTCAATTACATCATTTCCAGATGTCCAATTTCCAAAATTATTTTCTAAATATTTACAAATACAAAATTCACAGTATTGGGTTGCGTGATGCCAATTCTGACAATTGTTACATTGTTGTTGTTTTTCTGTAGAATTTCCATCAACTCTAATTTGATCATATGTTTTGGTTAATTGATTAAATAAAAAGATCTTTCATTGTCTGTGAGAGATGAATCATTTTCAATCGTATTTCTTCGATATTCTTCTCGTTCAGTATCAGTTTTATAAATATTGGGGTCTAGAGAATAATATGTTTTATCCCAAACACCATTTAATTTCTCATTCCATTTAATTTCTTGAGTAGCCATTTCTTATTTTATTTAAAGTTAATATAATTTAATGAATAAATATTAATTAATATAATTTATTGATTATAGATTTAAATATAATATAAATTACCGTGGATTAGATTAATTTAATTATTTTTGGTGATTGAATATATGACTCAATAAAATTTTACTAGGCAAATGATAATAAATTAAATTTAATGAGTTACATTAACCGTATATATAGCGATATTATACAATTTTATGTGGCGGAAGAGGTAAAAATTAGAGTAAATTATTTTCTGAAAACATTCACGGAATAAAAAATAATTTCCAGAGAATTTGTCACATAACATTGTGGATTGTTACTTCAGCATCGCCAAACAAACAAAAATTGATCTACTGAATATTGCACAATGCATTCTAATTTTAATATTTGGGAAATAATAATAATTTTTATGTAATCTAATAAATATGGTGCACATTCCAATATTGGT